TTCATCACAAAAATATGATTGCCTAGGCACATAGTCATCAGATTATCTAAAGTCAAGACAAAGGAAAGAATCTTAAGAGGTGTGAGGCAAAAACATCAGGTAACTGATAAAGGAAAACCTATCAGATTGCCAGCAGATTTCTCAGCAGAAAATCTACAAGCTAGAAGGGATGGGGTCCTATTTTCAGCCTCCTTAAACAAAAACAATTATCAGCCAAGAATTTTTTTATCCAGTGAAACTAAGCTTCATAAATGAAAGAAATGTAGTCTTTTTCAGACAAATAAATGCTGAGAAAATTTGCCACTACAAAGCCAGCACTATAAGAGCTGCTAAAAAGGAGCTCTAAATCTTGTAACAAATCTTTGAAATACACCAAAATAGAATCTTCTTACAGCATACATCTCACAGGACATATGGAACAATGACACACACAAAAACCCCCAAGATATTCAGGCAACAAATAGCACAATGAATAGAATAGTGCTTCACATCTCAATACTAACATTGAATGTAAATGGCCTAAATGCTCCATTTAAAAGATACAGAATGGCAGGATTGATAAGAATTAACCAACCAAATATCTGCTGTTTTCAAGAGACTCATCTGATATAAAAGGACACATAAACTTAAGATAAAGGGTGGAAAAAGATATTCCATGCATATGGACACCAAAAAATGAGCAGGAGTAGCTATTCTTATATCAGACAAAACAAACTTTGAAGCAACAGCAGTTAAAGGCAAAGAGGGATATTATATAATGATAAAAGGACTAGTCTAACAGGAAAATATCACCATCCTAAATATATATACATCTAACACTGAAGCTCCCAGATTTATAAAACAAGTGCTGGTAGACTTAGGAAATGAGATAGACAGCAAAACAATAATAGCAGGGGACTTCAATACTCCCTTGACATCACTAGACAGGTCATCAAGACATAAAGTCAACAAAGAAATAACTTAAACTATACCTTACAACAAATGGACTTAACAGATATTTACAGAACATTCTACCCAACAACTGCAGAACATACATTTTCATCATCCGCACACGGAACATTCTCCAAGACAGACCACAGGATAGGCCACAAAACAAATCTCGGTAAGTTTAAGAAAATCAAAATTATGTCGAGTATTCTCTCAGACCACAGTGGAATTAAATTGGAAATCAATTCCAAAAGGAACCCTCAAAACCATGCAAATACATGGAAATGAAATAACCTACTCTTAAATGATCATTGGGTCAACAATGAAATCAAACTGGAAATTTAAAAATTATTTGACCTGAACAATAATAGTGACACAACCTATCAAAACCACTGGGATACAGCAAAGGCAGGGATAAGAGGAAAGTTCATAGCATCAAATGCCTACATCAAAAAGTCTGAAGCAGCACAAATAGACAATAGGAACTAGAGAAACAAGAACAAACCAAACCCAAACTCAGCAGAAAAAAGGAAATAACTAAGACCAGAGCAGAACTGAATGAAATTGAGACCAAAAGAGCAATACAAAAGATAAATGAAGAAAAAAGCTGATTCTTTGATAGAACATTAGTGAGATTAAGAAAAGAAGAAAATCCAAATAAGCTCAATTAGAAGTGAAACAGGAGATAATACAACTGATACCACAGAAATACAAAAGGTCATTCAAGGTTACTAGGAACAGCTTTATGTGCATAAACTAGAAAGTCCAGAGGTAACGGATAAATTCCTAGAAATATACAACACTCCTAGATTAAACCAGGAAGAAATAAAAACTCTGAACAGACCAATAACAAACCATGAGATTGAAATGATAATTAAAAAGTTACCAACAAAAGAAAGTCCAGGACCAGATGGATTCACAACTGAATTCTATCAGACATTGAAAGAAAAATTGGTACTGGCCAGGTGTGGTGGCTCACCCTTGTAATTCTAGCACTTTGGGAGGCTGAGACGGACAGATCACAAGGTCAGGAGTTCGTGATCAGTTCAACATGGTGAAACCCCATCTCTACTAAAAATACAAAAATTAGCCAGGTATGGTCGTGGGCGCCTGTAATTCCAGCTACTCAGGAGGCTGAGGCAGGAGAATTGTTTGAACCAAGGAGGTGGAGGTTGCAGTCAGCCAAGATCACGCCATTGTACTCCAGCCTGGGTGACAGGGTGAGACTCCATCTTAAAAAAAAAAAAAAAAAAAAAAAAAGGTACCAATCTTTTTTGAAGTGATTCCACAGGATAAAGAGAGAATTCTCCCTAAACCATTCTGTGAGGCCAGCACCTCCCTAATACCAAAACCATGGAAAGACATAACAAAAGAAAAGAAAACTATGGACCAATATCCCTGATGAACATAGATGCAGAAAAACCTCAGTGACATACCAGATAACTGAATCCAACAGCATATCCAAAAGATAATCCACTATGATCAAGTGAGTTTCACACCAGGGATGCAGGGTGTGTATCACATACATCCACTGTTGTATGTGATATACCCATAAACACAAAATTAAAAACAAAAATTAAAAACAAAATTAAAAACAAAAATTACACAATCACCTCAATAGATGCAAAAAAGCATTTGACCAAATCCAGCATCCCTTTATGATTAAAACTCTCAGCATAATCTGCAAAGAAGGGATATACCTTAAGGTAATAAAAGCCATCTATGACAAACACACAGCCAACATTATACTGAATGGGGAAAAGTTGAAAGCATTCCCCTTGAGAAATGGAACAAGACAAGGATGCTCAGTTTCACCACTTCTATTCAACAAAGTTCTGGAAGTCCTAGCCAGAGCAATCAGACAATAGAAAGAAATAAAGGGCATCCAAATCAGTAAAGAGGAAGTCAAACTGTTGCTCTTTGCTGATGACATAATTATATACCTAGAAAACCCTAGGACTCATCTGAAAAGCTCCTAGAACTGGTAAATGAATTCAGCAAAGTTTAAGGATACAAAATTAATGCACACAAATCAGTAGTTGTGTACACTAACAGTGACCAAGCTGAGAATCAAATCGAGAACTCAACCCCTTTTACAATAGCTGCACATAAATAAATAAATAAACAAATAAAATACTTACAAATATACCTAATCAATGAGGTGAAAGACCTCTCTAAGGAAAACTAAAAAACACCACTGAAAGAAATTATGGATGACACAAACAAATGGAAACACATCCCATACTTATGGATGGGTAGAATCAATCTTGTAAAAATGACCATACTGCTAAAAGCAACCTACAAATTCAGTGCATTCTCATCAAAATACCACCATCCTTCTTCACATAATTAGAAAAAACATTCTAAACTTCATATGGAACCAAAAAAGAGCCTGCATAGCCAAAGTGAAACTAAGCAAAAAGAACAAATCTGGAAGCATCTCATTACCCTACTTCAAACTATACTGTAAGGTCATACTCACCAAAACAGCATGATACTGGTACAAAAATAGGAAAGTAGACTAATGGAACAGAATAGAGAACCAAGAAATAAAGCCAAATACTTACACTGTTCAACAAATGGTGCTGGGATAATTGGTAAGCCTCAAGTAGAAGAATGAAACTGAGTCCTTATCTCTCACCTTGTACAAAAACCAGCTCAAGATGGATGAAAGACTTAAATCTAAGACCTGAAACCGTACAAATTCTAAGAGATAACATTGGAAAAACCCCTCTAGACATTGGCTTAGGCAAAGAGTTCATGACTAAGAACCCAAAAGCAAATGCAACAAAAACAAAAATAAATAAATGCGACTTAATTAAACTAAAAAGCTTCTGCATAGCAAAATAAATAATTGGCAGAGTAAACAGACAACTCACAGTCTGGGAAAAATCTTTGCAATCTGTACTTCCAACAAAGGACTGCTATCCAGAATCCACAAGGAAATCAAACAAATTAGCAAGAAAAAAAAAAACCCATCGAAAAGTGGGCTCAGCATATGAATAGATAATTCTCAAAAGAAAATATACGAACAGCCAACAAACATATGAAAAAATGCTCAACATCACTAATTATCAGGGAAATGAAAATCAAAAGCACAATGTCATACCACCTTGCTCCTGCAAGAATGGTCATAATCAAAAAAATCAAAAAACAGTAGATGTTGGCGTGGATGTGGTGAAAAGGGAATACTTCTACAGTGCTGGTGAGAACATAAACTAGTACACCCACTATGGAAAACCAGTGTGGGGATTCTTTAAAGAACTAAAAGTAGATCTGCCATTTGATCCAACAATTCCACTCCTGGGTATCTATCCAGAGGAAAAGAAGTAATTATACAAAAAAGATCCTTGCACATGCATGTTTATAGCAGCACAATTTGCAATTGCAAAAATATGCAACTGGCCCAAATGCTCATCAATCAATGAGTGGATGAAGAAAATTCCACACACACAGCATGGAATACCACTCAGCCATAAAAAGGAACAAAATAATGGCATTTGCAGCAACCTGTATGGAATTGGAGACCAGTATTCTAAGTGAAGTAACTCAGAAATGGAAAACCAAAGATCATATGTTCTTACTCATAAGTAGGAGCTAAGCTATGAGGACACAAAGGTATAAAAATGATACAATGGACTTTGGGGACTTGGGGGAAAGCGGAGTGAGGGTTAGAGATAAAAGACTACACATTGGGCACAGTGTACACTGCTCAGGTGATGGCTGCACCAGAATCTCAGAAATCACCACTGAAAACTTATCCATGTAACCAAGCACCACCTGTTCCCCAAAAACCTATTGGAAAAAAAATAACAGCATGGATGAAACTGGAGATCATTATGTTAAATGAAATAAGCTAGGCACAGAAAGACAAACATCACATGTTCTCACTTACTTGTAGGATCTCTCACTTGTAGAGGTGTGGATGGTTAATATGTACAAAAAAGAAGAATGAATAATACCTACTATTTGATAGGAGAACAGGGTGACTATAGTCAATAATAACTCAACTGTGCATTTTAAAATAACCTGAGTGTACTTGGATTGTTTGTAACTCAAAGGATAAATGCTTGAGGGGGATGGGTATCCCATTTTTCATGATGTGCTTATTTCACATTGCATGCCTGCATCAAAACATCTCATGTACACCGTGAATATATACGCTTATTACATACACATTTTTTTTAAAAAAGAATTATCTGATGTATTTCAAAATGGTTACTTTTCCCTTCTACCTGCTGAAGACACGAGTGAATTTTTCTCCGATAGCCACTGTGAGAACCTGGTTGAGCTCCATGAGATTAAATTTTTCAAAGGTGGTGAGGGGTGTGGGGAGGTGGGGACTGATCACTGTATTGACCTGGAGTTTTTAACTTTCAGACCTGTCTGCGCTGAGTTTATAGCAACTGTCAATTACAGTTCAGGTTGTCCTACCTCAGCATGACTTTCCAAAGAGGCTTTTGCTCGTGGATTTCTGCTCCAGTAAGTTGTGATTTTTAATATCTGCCTGTCTCTCCAATTTGTGGGGCAAAAGTTTGCCCTGTGGTTCACCTCTCTGATGGATCTGAGAAGAGTTTTTGATGTTTCCATTTGTTCAGCTTTTTACTTGTTGCTAAGGTGGAGCAGTGACTTCCAAGCTCCTTATATGCTGGACCAGAAACTGAAAGCCAAATTTTAGAAGAAATTATCTCGTGAGTTGCTGGCCAGCCAAATGACAGCCATGGCTGGGTTAAATTTGGGGGTGTTATGTGCTCTATAGGGATTCTACTTCCAGGATCTGGGGAGACAGCAGCCCTCTGGGAAGAACCAAAAGCACGGTAACATTCTAGAACATGTCCCCAGTGCGGTAGTTGACCCACTCAGTTCATTTATGCCTCAATAGCATACTGTTAAACTATAAGCTTATGAATAAGAAATTTGTAATAAAGATTTTATAACCTCACAGGTTTGGTAAGGCTAAATAGTAGAGCATGGTATTCAGTGACACACTATGTTTAAAAGCTATACAGCTATAATAGGGGGTAAAAGACTGACTTACCCCAGGTGTCAACTGTAATATCTTGGCATACTTTGCCCGTGATATCTGGGGGACAGAGGTAACATCAAAGAGTAATGGAAGATTAACAGGAATAACATCTTGAAATCCAGTGAGTCCACCACTCTGAGATTCAGGCCTGCTGGCCTGGATATGGGAGGATGATAAACAGGCTGGTGCTGAAGCAGCTATTCATGGTCAGTTAAAGCAAAAACACATGGGTGGAATAAGTGAAGGACAATTTATTATATCGGGCATTTGCCGAAGCTATTTTTCTAGTATAGATGTACTTTCTTTTTCTCCGGAAAATAAATAGAACAATCTGACTTCCAGTCTTCTTGCCTCTCTCCGGCTTGGATCCACATCGCTTCACACTTGTGCAGTTGAAATTGTTTTCCCACAGATTGCCTTACTTTCTGTCTTTTCTCCTTCCAATTCATTCTTCTTACTGCAGGAAGATTTATCCCCTAAAATATCCTGCTTATGATGTGCAATTCCTTTTACAAAGCTTTCAAAGGCCCCTATTACACCCAGAGCAAAGTGTAAACTCAGTATTCTAGAGCTTCTACATTCAGACTACAATTCTTTCAGTATTTTTTTCTCGTTGTTTCCTGGCTTCTACTGTCCCCTCTGGCCACAGTGTTTTTCAGAAGAATGAACACCCCTGTGCATACCTAAATCTTTGGCCATGCCCTCTTTTCTAGGCTGATGGTTTTCTCTCAGCCCAAACAGGTTCTCTGGTATCTTAGCGTCTCACCAGAGTCGCTTTCTGTAAAAAGTTTTATTTCATCTTTATTTTGTCTCCCACAATCTCTAGCGATTCTTTTTTTATGCTGCTATGTCATTTCTAGACTGTGACATTCATGTGTATTGAGCTGTTCGCCACCTTTCACAGCCATTTGTTCTGGTGTTTAAGTCAAATTCATGATCAAACCTCCTTGAGAGAGGGTACCATTGCCTACCCTTCTCTGTGGTCTTCTCAGGGTCCACCCTAGGGCCTCAAATGGGAGGCACTAGTATGTATTAACGAGCGAGTGAAGGGTACAAAGCAAAGCAGCTGCGAATCTGAGTCAAGGTATTGTGTCCTCCAAGGACGACTGAGTGCAAACAGAGACACGCTGCTCAGACAGGGTCTGTTCCTGATCAACTGCTCTGTTGTGGCTGAATGCAACCAGCATTATTCTTCCCCTCACAAATTAAATCCCTTTGAGCAAGTGTATCTTAGACTATAGAGTGATATCCTATACATAATGAAACGTATAACTCTGTCTCGTGTAAATTGACTGTACTCTGCCCCACTGGCGGGATGTTTCTGTATTTAAGCTTTCTTGAATGTAGTGGGGCATTTGATACTGAAACAAAATGAAATCTTTTCTTGTATTTTCAAGCATGAACATTTAATCCATAAGAGAAGAAATTCAATAAGTTAATGAATATAGGGTAAAATATTAAATATTATTGGTGGCTGAAATCATGCAAATTTTACTAACTAACTTCTATTGAAAGAATACTGTTTGTCAGAGGTGGTTCTAAGAACATGCCATGAATTAACTAATCAAATCATCACCATGATACTATTGAAATGGCCATATTATCATCATAATCTCAATTTGATCAATGAAGATCTGATGAGTGGTAAGTTGTGAAGCTTGTGTATAAAACTAAGACATTTGGTTTCATAGGCAGAACATATCTGTTCTCAGTATACAGTTCTGCCTCTCTGAATTCTGCCTACTTCAGCCTTGCATAACTGCCCTTGTAAAACTAAACATTTCCTTACCACATGACCAAGCGAATGCACTTTTGGGCATTTATCTTAGAGAAATGGAAACTTATCTTCACGCCACATCTTGTGTGATTCAGCTTTATTTGTAACAGAAAAAAAATGGGAACAACCAAATCGATGGATTCATTTGGGGACTGGACCACAGGCTGGGAACCACCTTCTAGTGATGTAATCACCAACTGGACTCCAGTGGGACATCTCAATTTTCTTGCTCAAATAGAGGTTCTGTAAGATTATAAAGCAATTATGTGTCTTTTCTAGACCATTAATCAGGGGGAAAAAAGCACTTTAAAGAGGGCACTGTTTTCACACCTATTTATATAGAACTTAGTTTTTGTCTTCTTGTGAGGGGCTGCTTATTTGAAATTTTCATCTTTAGCTTTTCTTTTCTTTTTTTTTTTTTTTAGACAGAATCTTGCTCTGTTGTCCAGGCTGGAGCACAGTGGCATGATCTGGGTTCACTGCAACCTCCACCTCCTGGGTTCAAGCAATTCTTCTGTCTCAGCCTCCTGAGTAGCTGGGATTACAGGCACCTGCCACCACACCAGGCTAATTTTTTTATTTTTAGTAGAGATGGGGTTTCACTATGTTGGTCAGGCTGGTCTTGAACTCTTGACTTCAGGTGATCTGCCCCCCTCGGCTTCCCAAAGTACTGGGATTAAAGACGTGAGCCTCCACGCTCAGCCACCTTTAGCTATTTTGCTGTCTTGTGTTCAAACTGAGAGGGAAAGAAGTTCCCCATGGTATCCTATTTCAGAACGCTTGGACTGTATAAGAGGGAGTGGAATGGAGAAGTGAAGACAGTGGTCACTCCTGTCCCTCTGAACTCTTCTGCTGGTCATACACCCTGAGTGCCAACTCCACCCTTAAGCTCATACTGTTGTCTGTCTATAATTTTCCTTTAAAGTATTTTAGTATAGATGGTGTAAAATATTTATATGTGTGGGCTAGTTTCACTCTATGGCCTAGGGGTGGTTAGTTGGCATTTATAGTGGCCAAAAGAGAAACACACATTCCAGTGGTGGGCACGGTTAGCATTTTAAAGATAACCAACAGGAATTCACAGTTCCATGTCCACTTCCCCGTCTTCAACGACCTCCTTCTGTAAATGTCTGCACTAGATGATTGTTAATTAGCATGAAGATTATTGCAGATAAATTTTATTGAAAGAAATGGGTGGTACGCATGATCATTGGAATATGTGGGTTGGTTAATCCCTGTCCAGGCCCCTCTGCCTGTCTGTGGACAGGGGTGCAGGAATCTGGAGGGCCCAGCGGCTATGTATTCTCGTTTAGAGTATTGCCCTTGATCTAGGGCTGTCTGCTGTTTCGCTTCCTGCCTCTTAATTGGGAATTCTGTGACCTGATCATGCAAGGGACTTGAGTTTCTAAGTGGCCAAGACCTGGGACCTTGTGGAGTTTCTAGGAACAGATTGTTTCGTGCCTGCTTGCCAAGAAACATTGATTTCTGTGGCAGAATTCTGTCTGCAACCTGCTTTCATGGTGGTGTGCCATCTGGTAGTGGCAAAGCCGTGTGCGAGAGGCCTCAGTGTTCTTTCTCATAACTAGGGGCCAGCAGGAATAGGCTTAGCTCAGGGAGGGTCTGTAAACCACGCACACCCAGCTTCTACCTTGTCCCTTTCTATTAAAGAATTTCCTCTGATCTTGGAGCCAGGAGATGAGGAGACTTCGTGAGGATAGGATTAGATTACTGTGCCATAAAACTGGAGGTACTTTAAAATCTGGGCCCCTTTGTATCTGAGAATTCTGTACTTCCTACTCAGTAATTTACTTTCACATTTTCCCCATTGATAACAGGAGGAGACACACTTAAGGATGTATATTTTTCAAAGATGGTTATTTTGGAGCTTAAACAATGTCAGATTATTGTGAACAATTATTAGGCAAGGAAAATTGCCCACTTAATTAACCTAAGATATGTATTAATAGTTCAAAGCTTAGTCATTAGGAACACAAGCATGAGTTGGGAACAGTAGCAGTCTTAGAATTCTGAAGTGAGTCCCTGTGTAATTAGAAAATACATTGGTATGAAATTCGAGGATTGATTAAAGTTAAAATTCAAGGGAGTATATTGTAGATGCATCCTTGGCCCATGTTTCCTCTTTAAGTGTTGTGTTTATATATCAATCTAAAACAGAAAATGTGTTCTTTAATCTGCAGGCTCTTAGTGATTTTATCTTTCTCTTCAGATAAATTGTTTAGTTGCTTTCATCATCTTCCTAGTACATTTTGAACTGCTTAGTCTACCAAAGTAGAAGAATTATGCTTAATAAAACCAAATGACTTCTTCTTTCAAATGTTAATTCAGAAAAAAAAAAAAGAAAGAAAGAACCCTCCCAAGAATGCGAATGTATGATCTCATAAAACTTGTTTTTAGGCAAAGATAAAATACATGCCTACTTTGTCATTTCAGGAAAGTTATTGAAGTCAAAAACAGCCAGTGTCTAAGTTCTGGGTATAGAAGTGCAGTTAGCCTAAAGTTACACACACAGTAGTGGATTGTTAACTTGAACACACCAGTTGTAAATCTAGGTTTTGTTTGTTTGTTTTTTGTTTTTTTGTTTGTGAGACGGAGTCTCGCTGTGTCACCTAGACTGGAGTGCAGTGGCGTCATCTCGGCTCACTATAACCTTTGCCTCCT